TGGTACTGGGGATCGAACTCAGGTCCTTGTGCTTGCAAGGCAGGCACCAGAACCACTGAGCTAAATCTCCAGCCCTTCTTTTCTTGATTGTAGCCAAGTTTGTATATATAATGATGCACACCCATAATGAGAACAAATGGCCAAGAGAGTTTAGACTTGAATTCTTAGTCTCATTTGTTGTTGCCGTAACTGTTGTTGGGCACTTGGCCAGGAAATTGTGACCTAAGCACAGGGAGGAGTTACAGATAAAGTTCACCATTGCCAAAGAAATTCTATTCCAAATGGATTTGTGTGGAGCAACAGTGATATCCTGTGACAAGCTAAATTAGACGCAGAGATGTTTTCTCCAATGCTGTCTCTGAAGATCCATGCAATTGAGGAGCCAGGTTCTGACTAAACAGTCTTTGAAGTTAGGTTAAAATCTCACAGAAAAAAAGTATCCTGAGCATTTTAAGAATTTTGTTATGTGACTTCAAGAAGTAGGTGACTTAGATAGTTCTCAGTTTGCAAAACGGCAACCAGTGACAGATGAGGTAATTCTGCTTTGAATTGTGAGTTAAATCTCAAAACCATTAAGGGTTTGTCATATACAAAATGTCAAATACAGTAAACTGCATGTTCTTATTAAGTGTGAGACTATTAGATCCCTTTTCTTAAAGCACATTACATTAATGGTTTTATTTTTTATGGTTAATTTCTATATTTGCAGTTTCTACAAACTTCATGCTTAACTGCAGTTGGATATGATGATAATTGCTGTTATAATTGTCTCTGTATTGAAGTCTGTGTTGAATTTTATAGTGTTCCTATCTCCTAGAGCTTGTTTTTTTGTTAATGATCAATTCTGTAATTTGCAAGTGATTTATTAGCATGTAGGAATTTCTGGCTAATAGGTGTGTTTTACATTTGGATGCTTAGGCTAACCATGCTTTCTAGGATGGTAACTTTGTGCTTATTTTATTTTTTATTTTTGGTACGGGGGATTGAACTCTAGACCTTACACTTGCAAGGCAGGCGGCGGCACCACTGAGCTAACTCCCCAGCCCTTTCTGTGCTTATTTTAAAGCAAGATTTGGAAAGTTAATTTCACAGATGTAGTCAGACTCGTAAAGGTGAGAGTGAACAGTGTGTTCTACTGATTAATAATTTAGAAAAGTGATGCAGTTAACTGGCACTGGCAAATTTACTGTCGAGGTTCTGGGACCAATAGAAATTTTTGGATTCTTCAAGCAGATAAATCTTTTGTTTTGAAATAATGTGGTGGGGAAATGAGCTAGTCTTTTGGTTTGATAATATACCTTTTAGTTGAAATAGCATCTAACAGTATTTGTTAAAGCTTTGGTGTGTTCATTACTTTGAGGCCAAGAAATTAGTTTCTTTTGAATACTATTTCTCATGTTAATTTGTGTTTATGGTTGCCTGTAAGTGAAGTCAAAACTTACTTTCAGCACTTGGGTGTTTATTGTCTTTATAAACTTTAGTACGCATAGACAATAATTGTATTTAGCTTATTGCAGTTTATAATGCAGCAGTTCCATATTGTTACAGCTTTGCTTATTCACTTTAGGTATTAGTACAGCAAATTTGATGCCATTTTGATTTGTTCCTCTCTCCATGTTTTGTAGTTTAAAGTAAAGGAGAGATGAAAATAAGGCAAAGTTTTCTTTTTGTTTCATAAACAATAGAATTGAATGAAGGGGTGAGATAAGAGTGGTTATTTTTCAAGTTCAAGGATCCTTCTGTGATGAATTACAGTACTTGTTTTGAATAAAAATGAAAATAGAATATTTGGTGGAAGATCTTCGTAGAAAAACACCATATATCCTAATTTTAAGCACTTATACTCTTTTAGCTTTCGCAACCCTCTAATAGACAACCGCTATATATCACAAAATGTTAACCTGCTTTGTAGTAGATATTCAATTAATGTGTTGATAAATGGTTAGTTAATTGTTAAGTCAAAAAGGAAAGAGAAATATGATGGGTATTTAGCAATGATTATCTTGGTACAAACTAATTTTCATATTCTGAAGTGTGTCATTCTCCGTTTACATAGTTTGTGAAGTGTGTTGAGATCTTTAAAAAAATCATATATATATTTATATATATATTATATATTTGATAGGCTTTTCATGGTAGTACAGACCTGACCTATTCTGACCAAGAAAACCACTTTGGTATATTACTTTGCTGGGCCTATTGATAGTTTCTTTCTACCTTTATTACATTTAATGGTCTTTTTAAAATCCCTATGATTTTAGCTGTGCTTGAAACTAGCTAGTATCTTCTGTCAACATCAAAGCTATTTCTTTTATTGCTGGGTTTCATATCTCTCTCATATTGTATCATGAGGAAAAAGAAAAAATCTTCCCAAATCTGTTCCTGCCTGTATTCCCATAGAATGTTTTAGGCATCTCAGCTGTTAGGGCTCTAATCAAGAATTTGATCCATTTGGCCTCCTTGCCTGAATTGCAAGTCTGTTTGAAAAGCCTAAACTTCAGTAGTAACTTCTAGTTTCCAGAGTTGGAACCACTACAATACTTTGTTTTCAAAAGGATTCATGTAACTGGAACAGTTGATAATAGACACTTTTGTCCATAAAAACATGAAGTGATGGAAGGAACATGGTGATATTTTGGAGATGGGAGTGGTGTTTTTGTAAGAAAGGTTTTGGGTAGGTATCATTTGTCCTTTAGTTTCCTTTATCTTTCAGCTATTACTACTCTTTTTCTCCTTCTGTCATCCAGTATTAACCCAAGATAAAATCAGTACTGATTTTCCAGAAGACCAAGTGTTTTTAGGAAAGTATAAATATTTTACATAATTTCCCTTTCAGAAACAAGTTTTTTTGTTTTGTTTTTTGTTTGTTTGTTTTTTTTGAGACAGGGTCTCACTATGTAGTTGAGACTGACCTGGAACTCACTATGTAGCCCAGGCTGGTCTCGAACTCACAGCAATCCTCCTACCTCAGCTTCCCGAGTGCTGGGATTACAGGCCCAGCTCAGGAACAAGTTTTATGGAGTTAAATCTAGTGAGCCTAGCAGTTATGCCTAGGAGATAGCAGGAAGGAAGGAAGGAAGGAAAAGAAAGGAAGAGGAAAAACTATACAATATGTTAATTGTCTTGACTCTAGTAATCACTATATGTATGTATGTCAAGGTAAAGTATATCAGAGCTCATGTTAAATCCCTTAATTGTATAAAAAGACCAGTTGGAAAAATAAATCTAGAAGAGCCAAATAACTATTCAACTTCAGACTTTTTTGTAGTGTTAATTATGATACCACTTTCACTCTTTTTTTTTCCATAGGGTGTTTGTGAACCGAAGTTTAGCCATGGAAAAAATAAAGTGTTTTGGTTTTGATATGGATTATACTCTTGCTGGTGAGTAGCAATTTCTAATTTCTTTACAAACTTCTGTTTTGGGTATAACATAATGGATCCCCTGTAGTCAATTCAATAAATATTTATCATACAATTGGCTGGCAGAGCTGTTACTGAACCATTTTCACTGAGATTTATGAACATTGAAATTATCTGATATGCTTGAGATTTGGTTCTTGAGTTTACATATAAGTAGAACAAGTTCTCAATTATTTTATTTAGATATCTAAGAAACTGATTAAATTAATCTGTAATTTTGCATTTTTAGCTTTTACTTCATTAAGCTATTCTTCAGTGATAAAAATTTTTATCAGAATTTATTAAGTAAAATATTTGCATTGTGCTGAAGATATTGTTTAAGAGGTACTAGAGAGATCAGATTAACCACATGGATGTATGTGCTAGTAGTCCTAGCACTTGGGAGGTTGAGGCAGGAGGATTGCTTGAGCCAAGAAATTTGAGACTACCCTAAGCAATATAGTAAGACCCTATCTCAAAAAACTTGTTTTCTTGGTCCCTGAGTACACAGTAACAGTAACCATTTAGATAACAGTGTTAGCCTCTATTTCAAATCAGATAAATCTCAATTTGATGTTCAATTTAGCTACAAATATAAATGCTATAAATATATAAAAGTAAACACATGTGGGCCTGGGGATTTAGCTCAGTGGTTCCACTGCCTGCCTTGCAAGTACAAGGTCAGTCCTGAGTTCAATCCCCAGTACCAAAAAAAAAGTAAACACATGCAGATACTTGCCACATAGACATAACCATGATTTTTTTTAACTAAACAAGTCATTTATTAAAAATGTAAAGATTGGCCAGAATGTAGTTCAGCAGCATAGCACCTGCCTGGTAATTGTGTGGCCCTGAGTTTGATTCCCAGTACAAAAAGAAAAAAAAACAAAAACAAAAAAATATAACTCCCAAGATTAGAATTTTTCCTTTCACTCCATAATCTGTCGTGTGTTTGTTTTTCTCATCTTTTAGTGCTTTTAACTTTTTTTTTATAATTTACTAACAGGACACAGATACTTTTAGGAGCACTTGTCAGAAAATAGGCAAAAGCATTATACTTTCTCAATGTAGATGTTTCTGTTCAAATGGGAAGAAAATCCTGTAATCCAGAATGCTACGCTTGAGGTTATAGCTCAGTGCTAGAGCACTTGCCTAGTATGTATGAGTACTTGGGTTCAATTCCCAGTACCTTTCCCCTGCAACAAAACAAGCAAAGAATTACACATCTCTGGAGAAAAGAATAGCAACATAATTTAACATCTAAAAAAGATATCCAAAACAGAAAGAGTTATTAGGTTGATTATTAAAACAATCCCATTATAGTGAAATAGTTGATTTATTAACAGTCTCTACATTGTGTCTGGCATTTTGTTACTGAGCATTAAGGTAATTATAGATTCTCATAGGAAAATGAATTTTAAAAACTCTTGTTCCTGGACATGGTGGGATGTCCCTGTAATCCAAGCACTGTGGGAAGCTGAGGCAAGAGGACTGCAGGTTTGAGTTTAGCCTGGGCAAAAAAAGGGGCAGGGTGTGTGTGGCTGAAGATGTGGCTCATGTGGAAGGCCCTGGGTTCAATCCCCAGGACCTCAAAAATAAAACGAAAAGAAACTTGCTTATTGGGAAATTAATGAATCTTAGTCTCCAAACTACTGATGCTGTAGCACTTCTTCTTTTTATTTGTACTTTTGTTCATTTGTTTTGTTTGTTTTTTTGGTTTTTTGAGACAGGGTCTCACTATGTAGTTGACACTGACCAGGAACTCACTTTGTAGCCCAGGCTGGTCTCTAACTTACAGTGATCCTCCTGCCTCAGCTTCCTGAGTGCTGGGATTACAGGCATGCATTTTTGTTTTTTATAATGATCACTTTTTTGTGGGGGTATACCAAGGATCGAACTTGGGACCTTGCGCTTGCAAGGCAGGTGGCAGAACCACTGAGCTAAATCCCCAGCCCTATAATGATCTCTTTTAGCGCTTTCACCCAAACACTAACATTCTTCATGTATATATAGTAGTCACTGTTAACATTTATTACACTTGATCTTAGCTGAAAGGCTGAGAAGTGATTCACTGTTAATATTTATTAAGTGCATTATTACATGTCAGACCCTATTATGAGTGCTTCACATGGATTATCTTACAGGTTTATTAACATCTGTTGTCTCATTTATTATTTACAGTAACCTTCTAAGGTAGATTCTACTATTATCTCTATTTTATTGTACACAACACTGAGACATTGAGCAGTTTGTCCAAGAACATCCTAAAACTAAACCAAGACTTACACCAAAGCATGCATGTATATATAAATTATCATTTTGAATAACAGTTTATAAGGTAGAATTTCAAAATAATAAGTTCTATAAATCCACCTTAAACAAACCAGGACTTAATCACTTAAAGAGGTGAAGCCCTTTAGAGTAGCCCTTTTGAGAGGTTATACATCATTCCAACAATTCTGTGTTTGTGCAAACATTGTTCAGGTATTGTCTTTAGAATACATAAAAAAACAAGTTTATTGAATTTATACCGTCACTGTCTTCCAGAATGGTAATCATAAAATGTAGCTGTGAATAATTTTCCATTGTTAAAAAAACAGAAGCGGCTGGGGATTTAGCTCAGTGGTCCTGCTGCCTGCCATGGGAGCGCAAGGTCCTGAGTTCGATCCCTGGTACCAAAAAATAAAAATAAAAAACAGGGAAACCATATCCTTGATCAGAACCCATACCCTTCATCAGAAAAATGTGTCATTAAATACAGAGACAAGGCTAAAAGAACTTTGGTTTGTTGGTTTGTTTTCAGCTGAGTATTTGGGTAGATTGCCTTATAGTAAGTACAACTGCCTCCCAGGTAAGTTCTTAGAAAGGGACTGTGTTATCTGTGAAGTACCCTCAGTGCAGTTCTGCAGTATGTCTCAGTTGCGGCTTTTCTCCCCGTTATCCTTTGAGTTGCTCAAGGGCAAGGGCTACTTCTCATTTTTAGCCTATGTTGGCATGAAGCCTGGCATACTATATGTGTCAGTAAATATTTGTTGACTAACAGTTTGGATACAATTTTAGTAAATTAGTTTCTGAATCAATTATGGTACTTTAGTTTACCCTGTATGAGACGTATACTGATTATTCAAATGAAGTCTAAATATGAACATTTAAAAAATTTAATGACTATTATTGAGGAATAAGTTACATAAAATGAAATGCCTGAATTTTGCACAAACAGATTTGAGGTTTACAAATGTAAACCTGTGTAACTACCATCACAATAAAAATACAGAATATTTCTGTCAGTCCACAGTGTTTCCTCAGTGCTCTTTGAGATCAGGTTTTTATCCCCAATCCTTGGCCCTGTGGCTTTTTGTTGCTGCAGATTAACTTTTTCAGAATTTCATTTAAATAGAATCATACAGTATATACTGTTTTAAGTTTGGCATCTTTTGCTCAGCATAATGCTTTTGTGATTTATTCATGTTTTGCCTATCAGTTATGTGGGTTTTTTTGTTTGTTTGTTTTTGTTTTTTGAGACAGGGTCTCACTATGTAGTTGAGGCTGACCTGGAACTCACTGTGTAGCCCAGGCTAATCTCAAACTCACAGCGATCCTCCTGCCTCTGCCTCCTACCTGCTGGGGTTACAGGCACACACCACCACGCCCGGCCCCTCTTGGGGTCAAAGTGTTCAGTTTTTCACTATTAAGTGTGTTGTTAGTTCTAGGTATTCTTTAGATGCCTTTTAATTAGGTTGAGGAAGTTTGTTTGTATTCTTATTTTCCCAGGAATTTTATTTTTAACATAAATAGTAGGTGCTCAGTCTCATCAAAAAAATTTCCATCTCTGTTGAGAAGGTCATGTAGTTTTTCTTTTTTAGTCTTTTTAAATGGTGAATTACACTAACATTAAGCTAATGTATTCCTGAAAGAAATTCTACTCTATCGCGCACTGTTTATTTTATATTTTGGTGGATTTGATTTGCTATTATTATTTTGAAGATTGTATCATATTCATAAGAAAGTGTTTTATAATTTTGTCATGTCTGATTTTAGTTTTAGAGTAATTCTGATCTCGAATTGGAAACCATTTTCTTCTATTTTTGAAAGTTTGGGTAGGATTAATATTTTTCCTTAGATCAACTGATTTAGAGAAGCCATCTGGGGCCACAAGTTGCTTTTATGGGAAGGTTTTTAAACTTTTTTTAAGACTGGTCAGAGTTCCTATTTTTTCTTATATCAGTTTTGATAATTTGTGTCCATTTTATCTGTTTAAAAATTATTGCTATCAGTCCTTCCTTTTTTTTTTTTTTTTTTTTT